CATGATGACTTTTCCTTGCAGGATGTAGGCCTATGTAAGCAAGGAATTGGGCAATGATATTATCTCTCTCTCTCCGATGCTTATTACAGAGAGAACCATTGCGGGTTATGATATACCAAACACTCATGAAAAGCTGGTGAACTTGAACTCGGAGGAGAGAAAGAAATACAGGGAAGATCTGGTAATCGAATATAAGTATCGGGCAAGAATGTACATCTATGAGGCCATGAAGAAGGTCCGGAAATGGGTGCGTCATGACCATCCACCAGTTCGGGTAAGTCCAAAAGATACTTGGAACATATATATATATATAGGTACGGGGATCATAACTTCTCATATTTGAACATTTCTAATCTGTATTGTGTGAATGGTGCAGCTAGGGCATCATGGGCTACTGGATTGCATTTATAATCTATCCTCAGGATGAAAGGGCCAGTATATTTGACTCTTTGCGGGATACAAACAAAGCAGGGTACAAGCAATTTGAAAGCTGTTTGAGATAGTAAGTGATGGAACTTATTCATTTACAATTAACATACTTGTTGAAAATGTCGTTGACACTAGTGGTTTTTCGTATAGCGCTTATAAGAAGTACGTGAAAGATCCCGACTGCTATGATCGGAGATCTAAGAAGAAGATCAAGAATGGCATGAAACTGAAACTCAAGCGTGAGTTCCCGGTAAGTACCAATACTACTAGAGAGAATTCCTTATTTGACACTGGAAAAATGAGTCGTTCCTTTTTTGGCCCTGAAATTTTCTTCGTTCCCTATTTGACACTCACTTCAACTTTCATCCCTAATTTGACACTACCGTCAAATCCGTTAGCTAACGGTGTTTAATCGGTCAAGAAAAAAAAAAAAAAGCGTAACAAATTTGAGAGAAAAACTGCGCCTTTTTTTTACTAGGCGCATGCATCGAGAGAAGGCACACAGTTTTTCCCGAGTACAAATAAGGAATTCTCTCATACTACTACTACTACTACTACTGCTGCTCTTCTCTTCTTCTAATACTACACCTACTACTCTACTCTACTCTAGTACTCCTACTACTCCTCCTTCTACTACTACTACTCTACTCTACTCTACTCACTACTACTAGTTCTACTACTCCTACTAATTGTTTATTATATATGCTCTGATGATTGTGTATTATACATAGTGCAGTGCGCTAAACAACCCTATGGCTTAGTTCTACGTGGATTCTACGTTAGCGAGTACCTGAGGACGTGCAGCAGATTCACTAGCAGCTGGTGGTAGCTCAAGAAAGCACAAGGATGGTGACGAAGGGAGAAGGTTGACCAAGACTTCAGACAAACAGTAGCAGACATATGTAAGTTTGTCACAGAGAGCGCGCATGAAGAGAATACGTTCTTCAACCAAAAAGCGAGTTAGCGCGGGATCCGAAGTTCGAGAGGATCAGAAACTAGAGCACCAAGTTACGAATCTCGGATTACATTCTGCCGGACCTCTTTTTCCGGTAAAAATGATATGTATGAATGACCTTAGTTGCTGATGTACGAATGATTTGTGTTTGTGAAACAATGATGAAGGCACCACTAATGTAGTAACTTAATGTCAGTTCATCGATCGAGAATGAATGTAATATAAGTTTGTCATCTATTTTCTGCTTTATCTGTGTTTTCATTAGCGAAATTTTAAATTCAAATTTGAAAAAGCATTTTTTTAAATTTGAAAATCATTAACCGAGGCGGCCAAGTAATAAAAACCGCCTCGGTTAAAATCTTAACCGAGGCGGATGTATTTATTCAACCGCCTCGGTTAAAATATTAAGGTGGCGGGCACGTTACGACAACCGTCTCGGTAGGCGGTTAGCTTATGATGCCCGCGACGGTTAATCTATTAACCGAGGCGGTTGGCCAACTGTCTCGATTAAGGCCACGATTAACCGTGACCTTTACACCGAGACGGTTGGCTTGCCCGCCTCGGTTAAGCAAAAATGCTCGTCTCGGTTAAAATTCCTGTAGTAATGTTTATTACACTAAAAAGTGCGATTATATTTATCTGGCCTCTCATAATCAAAATGACTGGTTCAGACACGGCAAGGATTGCTAACTCGTGAACAACCTTGTTACAATCTCTAGAAACTGCTAACAAACAAACGAATTAAAATCGGCAGACACCAAACTATCCGGTTCCTCGAGTAGACTCCCAGCCATCGACGCTCTGTAGTCTCAAGAGTTGATCGCTTTTTTTTTTTGATAGGTCCGTTCAATGCCATTTCCCAACGGCGACAGTGAATGTGAATGTCCCACGCGCGGGAGGGAACTTATATAGGTGGGCCAATCCGGCCTTCAGCTCTTCTTCGGCCCTCCTGTCACACGGTGGGCCGTCCGCTTTGCGTTGCATTCGTTTCCGCGGCGTGGACTCTGGGTGGCCCACTTTGCATCAGCCCGTGCCGTTGATGACACGACGACCGCTCCGTCTGCGTCAAGCCATTGCATTTACTCGTCAAACAACAGCCGTCATGTCCCGCCGCCAGCGACAATCACCACAGGTCCAGCCAGGCCGGCATTGGTCTCATCTCTTCGCTGCGCGGCCTGCGCCCGGCGCCGGAGACCTTCTGCCGCGTGGCCAGCGGCAGCCACGACAATGCCGCCGGCCCGCCGCCACCGCCGTGTGTGCTGCTGTTCTGGCCAGCCAACAAAATACTGAAAGAAACGGGCGTGTATGTCCGAGTCAGCTAGTAATGCAACCTAAACAAACATGTGTTTGTGTATATCCATCCATGTTTGTTTGGTCCATACAGGATCAGGAGACTGAAGCCAGAAAATTACCCTACCCTATCCTGTAAAATCAATCTTCAAACAACTTCAAACCATCTGCCCGATCTGTCATGTTCCAGATTCACACTAATCTGCTTCGTATCCCTCTACGAGTATATATAATTAATAATTATTTACGCAGAAACACACCATTTCCTCTCAATTTCCATCTGCTTTATCAGTCAAAACACAGACACTATAGTTTCAACACTGATGCTACCCAATGCCAATCCACGAGAGTTAAAAATGTTATATGCATCTACCAGATAACCAGAAGAGGGAGGAGTTTAAAATGTTATTTGTATTTGTATACTACCAGATCACAGTACCTCAGAGGACAAAATTATCATTATAACATATTTGACTTGTCATACCAGATGGAAAGAATACGAATATATGACTAAGCTCAAGCGACCATACCAGTGCCCTGTTAATCATCAAACATCTCCAGAACACACAATTTTGATTACCTCCTTTTCTTCACAATAACCAGGCAACTAGGCAGGAACTACCTTGAGGTTTATTTTTACTGATAAACAGCACCATCAACAGACTTCACTCACCACTTCACACGTCAGGCTTTGGACTAATAGCTAAGAGCCACTATTGTTCAACATCACAGCTTTACTCAATACCATGGGTGAAACATATAACACCTCTAACAAGGACAGCAAGATGTGAAATAATCAGCATTTCAGATCACGTGTAAACCAAATGGATCATTATCCATTCATCATTTGTTCTGTCAAAGGTTGATACTAAAGGGCTCCCCACAATGTGAGACACACCATCAATAATACTTGTAGCGTTAAGTATAAACTTTAAAACTGTTGTTACGAAATCAACAGTTAGAAACAGTGAAGCCATTTGATGATGCAAATATTAGCTACGGTAGTACTGTTATCATGAAAAACAGTGTGAACACTTGACCAAACATAAGTGATGGTCCATACCCTTGCCCAATATGCAATATGCCAAAAACACTCTAACGACCAAAAACACTGCTAACGATCAACTCATTTTTCATCAGCAATTCAGCTCATTCCTCCAAACCATCCAATAAGCCGAGAACACCTGGAGCAGCTCATGAATAAGGAACACTGTCGATGCCTGATAATTCTAACTTTTAGGTTTACAAATCAACCAACACCATGTTGGAATAACCTCATGATGAATATAACTGGATTGATTTGGATCTAAGAACTAAATTTCCAAATAGACTCTGAATAGAATCCCGCGCACACTAACATCATGTCGAATATAACTACTTGTCACATGAAAGCATAATCAAAGTGTATTAAAAAACTTCACAATTGCTAAAACTAAAGAATAGGCAACTAATATGGAAAGAGAGAGAAAACTGTGCATGAAATCCTTGCATGAATGGTGACATGCAGATTCATTGTTACTTCACACATGGCAAGGGGGGCGGGAGCCCAGTTTGGCCACCACTAGGCTCCGCCCCTGACCTGTACAAATCTAAGATAATCCTTGTCAGGGAATCACTCAAAGCAACATCTTCATATATTCTCCCTAATACCAGCAAGCAAGTTACAAGTCATAGACAACAGCCGAAAACCAAGCTATAATTTCAGAACAAAAGCTTGCTGGAAAACACACACTGACAAATTATAGGAGCACAGCATGATGTAGAATTATGGTTGTTGCTAGAGCCGAAAACCAAGCTATAATTTCAGAACAAAAGCTTGCTGAAAAAACACTAACAAATTATAGGAACACAGGATGATGTAGAATTATGGTGGTTGCAGGCTAGCAGGTAAGGTGATAGGTGAAGCAAGATTTCTGTGACCAATCAAACTCTCTAGTTAGGTAATAATCAAACACTGGGTAGTGCAGAAAGTATTTAATGGAGCAACAGACACCCGACCACATCTAAGTTAGGCAGATGCACATGTAGCTAGTGATCTCACAAGCAGAATTAGAAGAAACTAGGCATAATTATTCCAGTAATAATTCTCATAAGCAGAATAAGAACAAAATAACAGAAAGGGCACCATTAAGTTGACCTGTAGGGTTTTCACTCATTCATCTGCAGATCTAGCTGAGATCTAACTCGAGAAAGTAAGGATCAAGCAAAAGCTAGGCAACACAACAAGCTGGGCGTCTCGCCATACATAATTCACCACCCAAAAACCGTCTGATCTGGTACTGTGATCTGATCCGATGTGTGGATCCACAAGAGCGGTGGGATCGGATCACGCGGAGGCCGCGGCCGTGCGGGAGCGGTAGAGCTTGCCGAAGATGTGGAGGGCGGTGACGAAGCCGATGAAGCAGAGCGACATGACGAGCACCATGGTGGGCGAGAGGCGGAGCCCCGGCGCCTCGTCGGTGTAGAAGCGGAGCATGTTGCTCCCGCCGCCCCCGGAGAAGCCGCCTCCCCCGGCAGACGAGGTGGCGCGGCGGCGGCGCATCCCGGCGGCCGCCGCGGCCGTGCCGCGAGGGCCGACGGTGGCCGGGCGCGCGCCGGCGCCGGCGCCGCCGCCGACGGAGGACTGCGACTGCGAGGAAGGAGCGGGCCATGGCTTGCTGGCGGCGGACGTCGGGATCTGTGGCACGAGGCGGAGGATGAGGGGAGGAGGAGGGTCGGAGGCTCGGGATCTGCGGCGCTTATGCTCCTCCCGCTGCTTCGTCGTCGTCGGAAGGAGTCGCCGAGTCGGGAGGGGGATAAGCTCGGGGTGTGGGGTCGGGGGTACTGCTTGTTGGGCCGTATCCAACCTGTTGATAAGTGTCGGCCCAGGTACTCATAATAATTGCTAAAAATCGCAAAACGCAGCCCACCAGACCCAAATTGGCCTGTCAACAACGTGCTTGCTCCGAGCCTACGACTATGCTAGCTCTCCTGTCTAGCCATTCCATACATAACTAGTTTTTCGGGCGCGCCCATGCGCGCGGTCCACTGGCCACACGTATTTTTTGAGAAAAAAAAGATATAATCAAAGTTGGGCTATATTTTGATTTGAGAAAAATCTGATGATGTTTTCGCAAAAAACGGTGAGAGTGTCTGGGGAGCACGAGTTGATTTTCGATAAAGTGGAGGTCTTTTTGCAAACAAACCAGTGCCCATCCGGTCTGGACTGAGCGTTGATTTGGAAATAATACGAGGCATTTTTTGTAAAAATTTCTAAGAGGACGTCTGGAGCGCGGGTTGATTTCTGAAAACTTAAAGGGGTTTTTCGTAAAACGACCGCGGCTCGCCCGATCTGGGCCGTCCGCGTGGCCGATCGAACGGCCGCGAAAAGCCGGCGACGTGGCCACCCTGAGGCCGCGCCGTGGCCACACCAAATCATATCTTTAGATCTGTAACCACACTTTTGTTAGGATAATAGAAAAATTCTGGCTTCAGTTCTCTTATGAAAAGAGGCAGCAGCCTAAAGTTAAAGAAATGGTCCACTTTAAACGCTTACAGCAGTTCTACATCATTGTTGTAAACAAAAAAAATGAAAAACCATCCAATAGATGCGAAGAACCCCGTGGCACAGGGTTCTAACACGCCTTCAATCATCCGATATTTGCGATCATCCAAAACTGAAGCCAGTATGTTACATTGAATAGAACACACAATTTTTTGGTGACATTTATTAAACACTATCATGTATCTGTGGGATCCGACAGCTTTGCGTGGTAGCCACTTTGGGTCCGGTAACAATTTAATTTTCAAGAAAGTGTCGTACGTCGTCGGGGTCGATCCTAGGATCTAGATCGAGCAACAGAACGTCTTTACCACTGCGCTTGATGAATGTTGTGTTGGTATCTCACTAAAAACTCTAATTATTACTGTCAGTTCCTATAACAAGCCGTTTGAACCGGCAGCAATAACCCTCTCATCACTGCCTACCTTTACCACTGAGAGATGAAATTGGCGGTACGTGATAAGGTGTTTAAAGTCATCAGTGATAAGTTTTCTATAGTAGTGCGTTGTTTCCTTATGCCCTTGTTGTCATACAACTTGTAGATTGTAGCTCTAGACACATTTAATAAGTGGACACAAAAATTTGTTCCATAACCTAAAAACACAAGATCATTTTAAAAAAAACTAAAAACACAAGATTGAATTATTCATACATTTTCCATACTTGTTCTATCCGTAGTAGTTTTTTGTGCTTTTTTTTTTTTTTTACTGTTTTTTTTCAAAGTTTCTTTTGTTGTTTGTTTTGAACTTTTTTTTTGTTTTTCACTGGTTTTTATTTTTTCAAAGTTACTTTTGTAGTTTCTGTTAAATATTTTTGGTTTTTTTTTTGTTTTTCACTGGTTTTTACATGTGTTTTGTAGCTTTGGTTTGTTTGTGTGTCTTTGTGTGCCGTTGTTTCGGTGTGTTTTCAGGTGCCTGTGTGTGTGTCTGCGTGTGTGTGTCTGCTGTCAGCGCGCGCGTAATACACCGTAATTGATGACGGTGGCATCAATGAAGCGTTTCCCCGTAATTGCATTGCTTGATGCATGGGTTTGTCCGTCACTTCAAAACTACTCCGATCCTAAGAATATGCACCGCCAGCTAGCTAGCCCGGCCAGGGCCAGCACACATTAATAATGTATGTTGTTGGCTTGGCGGCAGGCAGAGGCACAGTCATTTGCCAGTTGCCACCCGAGCCCAGCAGAGCAGAGCAGGCCACCACCAACCCGCCATGGGTGAGCTCGAGTTCACAGTGGTCGTGCCCTGCTGGCAACAGCCGCTAGTGCTTGCAGCTGCGGTCGTAGCGGCTGCTGTCGCCGTGTCGCAGATGACGTTGTTGGCAGCGGCGGCGGGAGCGATGAAGCTGCAGGAGACATGCAGGACCCAGTGAGCGTGCCCTTCCCATTCGGTCTGAGCCCCGGGTGCCACCTGCCGGGGGTTCGACGCGAGCCATCAGCAGCTGTGGTTGGGTCTGCAACTACGGAGTCCCCGTGGACGAGGAGCAGGCCTTGCTGTGCCGCTCGTCGTCGGCCATCAGCAACCGCGGTGGTGGCCAGCATTATTGCGAAAGGTGCTTTGGCATCGGCTGCTGCAAGGCACCCATCCCTCTGGGCGTGGGCTGCGACTCTTACGACGTGAGTGTGAAGGGTACCGGCAAACCAACTACTCGGTGCTCATCGCGCAGGAAGCCGGCCTGGTTCCATCACCTAAACGTCACGTTATCCATGGCCTTGCGTGAGTCCGAGAAGACGAGGAGGATTCCTGTGGTGCTTGCATGGACGGTCGTCGGATCTGACGCCGCGCTGCAAGAGCCAAGCGATCAGACGCGCGACGGCAACGCGACGTGCCCTCATCAAGACGTTGGGTGCCACAGCAGTTTCAGCTCCTGCACACGTGTTGTCCGTCCAAACTGTGACCACGCCAGCGGCTACACCTGCAAATGCTGGCAAGGCTACCAAGGGAACCCCTACCTTCACCATGGATGCCAAGGTAATACTTACTGTATCTAATACAGTACGCGCGTAAGCACGTCGTCTTCTTTAAATTTATATATGGGAGCATGCAGTAGTATCGAAATTCTTGGAGACCATTCTTCTTATATATATATATTGTAATATATCTACTTTATTCTTACTAGATATCGATGAATGTGCACTTCAGGATAAGTGCTATGGTCGTTGTATCAATTTGCCCGGCACGTACACATGTACATGCCCACGTGGAACCAGTGGTGATCCAACCATACCACATGGTTGTGTAAAATCACATACAGGTAATCCTAGCTAATTACTTGCTCTCTCTATATCCAATGAATTTATGCTCAAATCTCTTATGTAAAACAACATTGCTAGAATCTGGTACACCTAGTTATGCACAACAACTCTTAGATCTTTGAAAGAATATTGCGAGTATGACACATGCATGCTTGCACCTTATTAAGAGTGATGTAGTCGAATAACGTGGAAACCCTAGATTGACAACGTTAAAGCAATCATGACAATCGATTAGAATTTTAGCGAAGCCGACCACAATTCTATAAGCATAACTCCAAAATAGTACAAGTGATTATTGTTCTCACAACCTTGCCTGACCCTCTAGGACCCTATGATTCTTGCTCTTTACAAGAATATAGTGCAATAGAACTTCTAGTCTAATCCTCTTGAGCACTCCTAATTGCTCCTTACAAGCCTTGGATGAGGCCCTTGTGTTGGCTTGGTTGATGCCTATATAGCCTCTACCCCCTAGCTTGTTTATATAGTTCCCTCCAAGACCCCCATGCATGCAAGTAGCAGGAGTACTACTCCTAGTAGAATTCTATACTCAAATCCTCATAGAACTAGAAGTCCTAATAGCACACCTATATTGAATCCTATTACAAGTAGACCATTTGAGTCACTATACAACAATCTCCACCTTGATTCTAATCCTTTGAAGTTACCATGCTCCTGCGAAAATTCGCTCCGGGTTCCTTTTTTATTTATACTCCCACTTTGAGAGTACCTCCACCATAGGGGCTCATGCACGTCACCAAAATGTGCGTGTCAGAGTCTGGGATGGAATGAATGAACCTTCCAACTGAGAAATCCTTTGTTGTGTAGTTTGGTTAACCACACCACCTTCTCCTATGGCCCTCCAGGCCATAGGTTTGTACCGCCTCCTGAGCTCCACCTACTTGCTGGTACTACATGGTTGGTCCTACCATGTATTCCTTCTTCCAATAGCTTGCAGCTTCGCCTCTACAACTGTTAGATTTTGTACCTGCCGTTGACAAGACGACTTCCTTCTCCAGATTAGGATTTTTACCAAATCTCCCCATGGTTGCACTACGCTTAATATTTCCCATCACTCGGTATCCTCTATTAATCCAGATACTTTTCATAATTACTTGCCCTTTGCAAGTATGCCCTCTATTCCAAATTATAAGACGTTTATCTTTTCTAGATATGTATCTTTTGCTACGCACTTAGATATACACTATGTCTAGATACATAGTAAAAATAATGTGTCTAGTAAAGCCAAAACGTCTTATAATTTGGAATGGAGAGAGTAACTCGCATGACTCCACCTTGAAGTAATAAACCACAACCTTGGAGTTTTGGCGCCCTCATAGATATTAGAATTTTTTTTAAACGAAGCGTAATGCAAAGACCTTCCAATGAAAGAAGTTAAGAGCTTGGTTTTTAGCATGTTCAAAGAAGTTGGCCTATTTGGTATTCCCCATCCCCAAATGTAAAGAACTATGGCGATTTTAAGACTACTTGTGTACAGATGGAAAAGTAAGCATGTATCACTCAATCATGTGCCTAAATCATAGTGATGCAATTCAATCCTAAAGTAAATAATGTCATAAACAACATTATTAAACCCTACCTATAAATGTGTATTAGGTCAGAAGTCTTTACACTTGTGAACTAAGGGAGTAGCAAGAGTGTAATCCCTTGGTATATTGTTTTTTCCTTTTTATTGATTTTCGTGCAACTCCCTTCTGTACTAATGGAAATGGCATAGTCATGTGCCCCTTTT